AAAATATGCAATATTGCTTAATTCATGTTAATTCGATGGGATGCGGAACTTGACCTTAGATATATTGAGAACGGATATTTCAAAATATTTGCGGGGTGAAGGATGGCAATTTTAACGCAAAATATGACTATCCTCACGGAGATACACAGTTCAATCAAACCAATGTGAACATAATAAAACGAACACAAGGTGATAATATATAAAAAAAAAATGTCAGTAATGTAAGGAATAATAAATGAATTGTAAAAAAACAATCGCTCTGTAAGCAGCGGGTGGCGCTGCGCTCATGCACACCTTTTGTGATTAGAATTACGTGCTTTCGACTAGAAATTACCACGAATAAATAGGTAGCTGTGACTAGTGATATTAGAATGCAAATTTAAAGGTTATCTTTATCATTTCATTTATGCCAAGCGCCTAGACATTAAAATGAAGCCGCCTGAGTTCACGAAAAAAAAATATCCCGGACTTCCTCCGTTTGAACTTTAATGTCCCGGTGAACATCTAAAAACGCTAGACTTCGTTTCAGCTTAAATTTAGGTGCAGCCGACGCTACAAGCACGAGTTCAGGGCTTTCAGCGTCCCTGCCAAGCACGCGGGCTCGTGCAGTGCAAGCACTGTTCAGGGCCACATGTTCACGCCTGTAGCATCGGCTGCGTCTGGAATTAAGCTGAAAGGAAGCGTAGACCGAGCAGTCGCTCACTCGAAGTGGACTCTCTCAGGTATGTTTTCAACCGTCGTAGTGAAGAGAACGAGCGCTCAGCTTCCGCCGTTGTTAAGGACAGAGCAACTAAAATCTTGAGGAGGCGATGGACGTTCTGAAATAGTGCCTCCGGACAGAGGGCGACCACCTGCATACCGCAGATGTGGCGGGCGCTTCACGTTTCTCCCTCTTGCATTGGACGCCTAAAATCTCCCTATTTTTCGCGAAGTTTCCCTCACGTTGCGAAAATCGTCGCTCACGGATGCGATGAAGTCCGTCTTGCTTTCTGCTTTGTATGTCAAGGTGGCATGTGGGTGCAATTCCTTATGACTATTAGCTTAATCTCTTCGCTGCACGGAACATCAGAAACTTGAAGAGACAATCCTTCATATTCTCACTATGCACACGCGCAAGGCTAGCCAAGTTCCTTTCCACGTTCGGCGCGTAGTTTCTTTGTGGTGCGTCATGTCATTTGTCCGAGTGACGGAACGACGAGTTCGGACTGATGACTTCTCATGACCCCGAAGATATGCTGCTGCTGCCTTTGGATCACGCTGCAAGATAAAACGGCCTAGCAAAGATAACACTCTCTTTCCTTCGGCATCCGATTCTGTAGCACGAATTTGTTAAACCTTTAATAGATAATAGATTTTGGTTGTGTGGTTGTTCAGAATTACCTTCGCCTTAAATATGGGCCCCTGGTGTTTGTGCGTGGCCGGTTGCTCCAAGTTTTCAGTGTCGAAAAAAGATTTTGTTTTTGCTGTTTAATTTTTTTTGTGTGCGTGTGTGAAAGTATAGCTACTTTTGTGTTTTTCTGGCCTTCACGCGTTGGTATTGCGGTGCTACTTCGAAAAGCGAAGGGAGTTTTGTGTTGTGAGAACGCGTTGAAAGTTGGTGGGCCGTAATTACGACGGCAGTAGAACAGTGGGCCACTCCGCCCGTATTCCTGTAAATGAAGCCTGCTCCGTTTTTAAAAATAACAATGCAGCGTTACCCGTTTTATCTTAACAGCGTCTCCCTAATCTTTGCCTGAGCGTCCGTGTCGGCGAGTTCACCCTCCGTCATTAACGGGGGGCGGGGGGAGGAGGAGGAGGAGGAGGAGGAGGAGGAGATGCCGTTGAACCCCTCCCGAAATAAAATCCTGGCTACGCCACTGCCTACCGGTGCCCCTTATATGAATCAGTTAAACACCGCGAGGACTGTATACTCCAGATTTTGTTCTCCGTAGTACCTTTCATCACTTCTCGATGAAAAAATGTGACCGCAATTGCAATATCGGCAACAAATCATCGATCGCATTGGGATAACAGAAAACCCACCGGCCTTTTTCATTCGTACAAGTAAGTAAACGAATGAAACAATAAGCTATGCATTTCGAGCACAGCTGCTCTGTCCTTTCTGCATTAAAAAAAAAAAAAAAAAAGGATGGGAATTCCCGCATGAAATCGGTAAACAAAGAAAAGGCGAGCGCACGCACAGGGAGAACGTGCACGGGTCTGTGCACCGTTGCACCAGCGCAGGCAGCAGCAGTAGCAGTAGCAGCAGCATCCGGGCTCCCCAGCCTCCTAATCCCCCGGGATTCCCCACATCCATCGAAGGGATGCTCGAGACGAGATGAATCCCAACGCGCGTTCCCCCTCCTGCGCACCCCGGTTGACCGACGCTGCGCCGGGCGCCTTTGTCTGCGGGAGCGGGGGCTGCCAGGTGGCGCAGTGCGCGCGGGGGTGGCGTAGAGAGACTAGATTTCGGAGAGGAAGCAGCTCGAACCACGGCAAGCGTCTGCAACTGGCGTGCACCACGCTCGAAAAAGGGAAGGTCCCCGAGTTCGCTTACCTGCCGAACACAGCCATTTCCGGCAAACAATAGAAGACTTAGAGCGAATGAGGAAGCTCAAGAAGCAGAATACAATTATATAAAAAAAAAGAATGCAATTTGCGCAGGGACATGCAATGGGTAAGACGTTTCACGTGCTCATTGTCCCTCACCACATTGCTTTTTTTTTTTTTTTAGATCGACTTGTATTTTGTGTTTCCTCATTCACTGAGAACCTTTTATTCTTCGCCCGGATTGGCTGTCTCTGTGTTCTGCAAGAAAGCGAACTCGCGCAGCTTTTCTTCGAGAAAATAGTCAGACTGCAGGCGAGCTGGTAGAAGTTCAACATGATGGTAAACCTGCCCTACTGGGGTAGGAAAACGGAAAACAGGAAAGAACAAAGAAAAAGAACAGGCAACGTTGCGTTTTCTTCTTCTGTCTTCCTTCGCGTTTTCCGTTTTCCTATCGCAGTCTCAGCTTTACCAACATGGTTAACTTCTCTTTACGTTGCACCTGCAACACAATGGTTGCTCGGGCGCACGCGTGACTTGGCGCGTGGAGAGGAGGATAGCGACGCCTGAGAGGCGGAGATGCTCGCAGACGATCCAAGCGTTGGAAACGCGGCTCCCATAAATCACGTGACCCCCGATCGGGCAGTCGCAAACACTCGGAAATCTAGGCACCCTAGGGTGGCGACGACGGGGGCCCCTGGCAACGCGTGACGTCACGGGTCGAAGCCCGCCAGCTGTCGCCCAAGGAGGAGGACGTCCGTCCTGGGAGCGACCCTTTTCTCTTCCTGGATGGATGCGAGTCCGGACGCCGCCGCCGCGGGCCAGTGGAGAAGAGCCGGCGTCGATCCACGTCCTCTCTTCGCCCTCCGCAAAGAACGGGGACAGATATAAGCGCGAATCCCCTCCCGGTCACCGCCGAGCTGACAGTGCGGTGGAAGCTGCGTGCTCGTTGCGCCACGTTATCCCTCCTAACCCACGCGCAGAGCGTGGGTCACGTGACCGAAACGAGGCGGTTCATTGGCCCGACGATCGCGTACCTCTCGTCGCATTGTCAGGTTAGGGGTGAACGGAATACAGTTGAGTGTAGAGCGCACGAAGCGCATGGAGCGTTGAAAAACGCCTGCCCGCCTAGATTGTTTCCAGTGTTTACAGAGTAGCAGCGACAAAAACTAAAGCCCGCGCTTCTCCCAGCCATATCGTACTTCCTCCCTCGTGTAAATAGCGCGTATTGCTAAAGCCAGCCCCTCGCTCACTGATTATATATAAAAATAAAAGCAGGATGAGGTATAGTTAGAGGAGACAGGGTCCTTTTTGTGTTACGAATATATATTCTTCACTCCTTTTTGCAGCATGTCAAATCCAAATGGCGCGGAGGCCTAAAATTTAAGACTGGAATGCTCGCGAAAGTCAGAGCATGGGTGCTGGTTTTGATTATGAAATGACCGATATAAATTTTGAGAAAATACTGCATGGGGTAGCTCCCCTCTTCTCCATAACGTGCACAACGCTTCAGTCACAAGGCCCATTCACACTGGGGCACTTGCTATAGGTTGTCTTACGTCACGTTATGATTCACCGAGACATGCGTGCTTCGTATTTCGTGTTCAAAACTGCCCTTTCAATCGGTCACCACGTTTCGTGCGAAGCACCGATGTGCCGGATGTTCTCGACGTAAGCAGACTTTCGCAACGTGACGCACCGTATACGGAAACAGGGCTGTGTGAACCATCCTTCGGGATCAATCCCAACCAAACTCTGACAGCCCTATCAATATGAGATGGTACTTTCTTATAAGCTCAACAAATTGTCGGTCTTTCTGGTGGACGGCTGAGCACGTATTCGGTCGATGAACGTGATCTGTACAGAGCATCGAAAAGGGTTTAAAACCTCGTTCACACAGTTGCGTCGATCGCGTTGCGTCGGGCAGCAGAGCGCTTCCTCGGTGGCTCGTCGTAAGGGTTGTCATAGCAACAGCTGGACGCGACCAGTCGTAACGCAGTCAAACGCGACTGTGTGAACGAGTCTTTATTCGAAAACCTACTCAGGGACGTAATCACGACCTTTATACTCTCCCGTTGGCCTCGCGCAGTTCGCGTTTTCGACATTTTTAGTGCCTCATCGTCCGCAACACGAGCTACGTAGATTTCAACGACTGGCACACCGCGTGGGCGCATTGGCACTTTTATTAATTGTGCGATGGGTCAACGTGCACTTTGAGATTGCCGACTTAACAAGCACAGGGCGGGGGGTGTCCCGAACATCACACTATTGCCCCATCAGTGAAATTACGTCGCTTCGCTCGAACATAAGGTTGTATTCGTGAATCACTATTATTTCCCGAGCATCTTATTATCGATTCGTAAGCAATGATATTGCGAAATTCCCCGATAACAACGCCGGGAACATAATGAGTCAACCCCTTCGTTTTTTCGGTTGTCGGCGATTAACGGATCAAGAAATAAATCCAGCCAAGGGTCGCTTCTCGCGCGATGATATAATTTATTCTTTTTGACTCGAGATAAGCGTGAGACGCTCATTCACACGCGCAAACACACACGCACACCTATACGCACAAATGTTCACGTGACACGAGCATACGCACGCACACGCACACAAAGGACACGAACGACGTCGATGAACACGATCGAGAGTCCTCGTGCGGCTGAATCTCGGACATCTTCCGGGGTTGAACCGCGACGTTAGCGGCGCGGTGGAGCACTGAGCAACACAGCTGTTGCGACTCGCGGAGCAACAGCCGTGCTATAGGTCGACGAACTCCGCATTCGTTGTAGAACCGACTCACGCGCGTCTGCGTTCGTTGTTGAGACGACGGGACGCTATAAAGCTCTGCGACAAAGATGAGCCAAAAGGTGACTACGTTTTTCGAAGACCGAAGACCCATGCCGACACCCTGTCGGTTTGTATTTGTAACCGGGCTAACAATCTGGAGCCGCCGCTTCGTAGTTTTTGGCGGCGACAGTGCGGGGTGACTCATATCTTATTGTGACGTCGATTCGGTCAATGAGTCGTTTCGCCGGGGGCCGTAATTTTACACTGAGACGGTAACGGAGTGGTGAACGTGCGTTGCCGCGGTTGCAACGTTATAAATAATAAAAATGACAAAAAGTAAATAAAAAAAAATAATTTTAAAGGGGGAAGGAAAACTCTGCTAACCCCTTTTCTCACAAAAGCAAAATTTACCACCAGTGTATATAGCTCAAACTGCGACTCGATCCAAACATCAATTGCCCTGTCTTTTTTCTTTTTTTATCCAGGAAAAAAAAAATTGTAATTTTTACGCGTTGACGAAAAATAACCCACCATCCTACAAAAAAAAAAAAAGATTTATATCGTTTACTTTTTACCGAGATTATTGTTCGAGCTGAAATCTATAAAAGCACAGATCCATCACCCAATTTCATCTCGTGAATGAAGTACAGCACCCTACGAAACTACAGTCACTGACAGCTCAATAAACGTAGGGAGCGCCGCGTCCCGAATACATTATTGCTTCGCAGCCAATCAGATTGTTTCACTAGCTAGCTGACAGGAACTCCAACGAATCAATCGCGAAGAGGAAACGTACTAAGCCCCGCCCAGCGTTTTTTAAGCTCTCAGTGACCATGGCCGGTTCACGCCGCGATATAAATCGACGAATCAATATTCTACATCCCCGCGCGCACTGCCCATGTCATCAAGAGACCTGACAAGATAATGCGAAACGCGTCCTGCTTCGACTTGGCGCTTGCGTGTGGCACTATACCGACGAACCTTCATCTTCGACACGACGGTAGACCCGCGAGCCAGCGGCGGTCGACTCGAGGCTTTCTTTGTTTGACAAAGACAACCGCTTCGCCGAAATCCCTGCGTGACGAACTGACACGAGAGAACTCTCTATATAAAGCGCACCTCGATTGCCTCGATGCGGTAACAGTTAGCGGCATAGCAGTAGTCTGTACGCGCCCGTCCACGCGCGTTTCCGGCAACTTGGATGCGATGTTCTCGGAGGGCGAGCTATACAGGATGGCAGCGAACGGGGTATCTGTGCCAGTTCGGCGGAGGTAATTCGTGGGGCATCCGTTCGCCGTCGAGATTGCGTAACTGTCACGATCACTTGAGCACCAGAACTCGAGCGGCTGCGGCGATTCCAGACGTGTCCACGACGATGCGTCGGCGGTGCACATAGGGTCTGCGATTGCTTCGGGTGCAACCCCCCGTCGAACACGTCACCGTGGCACTGAGAATGCTGCAGGCTTGAGCAGTGGGACGGACCTTCGAGACACACCGTCCCGCTTCAGGATCAAGGCTCGCCTGATCTTCGGTTCCGCTCCTGTCAGCTGGAAAGGTCCGCTGAATCCTGTCGAAGAAAGAAAATATTGCGATTAATACGGCGATACAATAAGCAGACAACGCACTGAACTAGCTCACCGCCCGTGGAAACGTCAACAGTTATCCGCGCGTTTTCAGAGGAACGTGTGCACCTTTACGGAGCTTATCACCAGGTGAGGAGTGCAACTTTACGGGGCTGTGGAGGCATACGAGGCGCCTGAAATTCCGCGAAAGAGAGCTGCTGCGCGCATCCAGAACGTGGTACACAACCCAACAGGCAAATATGGCTGTTCGCGCGAGACGATTATTAAAATCGTGTGTAGCCTCTCTTCGAACTGTTAAATGGTTCAGTTACGGCACTCTGAAAGGCAAGCTGCCCTCTTCATATATGTCTTCATCAATGTTCTACGAATAATTTATTTTGATTCACTTAAACTTATCACCCTCCGGCAGCGTCAATTTTTTTTTTCTAAACATCACTTGGTTTACGTAAGTTTGCATGTGTTTCTCTTGCCAGAGTAGAACTTTTCTTCAAACAAAACAAAGGAGTAATTTATCATCGTCTATTCACCACGTTCAAATACTATTCAATGGTCCGGTGCCAAGGCCTTAGACGATCATCGTTCAAAGACTCTCGTGCTTATGAATACAAAAGCCGCAGGGATATATTTTAGATTCACCACTTGTATTTCTATCGGCTCGTTTTGTAGTTGACACAAAACAATGGGACTCTGGACAGTGCAGGCTGCTTCGTAAATTATTCGCAAGACGGTCCTCGATGTTTCCATCCCTAACAAATTCCTGTAAGTATCCCAAAATGGTCCCAGCAGTTGCCTAGAGACCCAAATAAGAAAACAAAACAAAAACATTGCTGCGAATACAAAGTTCTGAAGAGCGGCAGAATCTGATTTCAAGAATCTTCCGTCGACCAAAGTGACTGAAATTAATCCCGAAATACAAAACAAGTCAAGATTCCATTTTAATAATAATAATAGTAATAATAATAATAAATATGGTCCTCGCCCACTCAAATCAACGGCTGAATTGAGAACCTGCTGTCTGAATTGGTTTGAACCTTCCAAATTATCGTCTGAGGGGTACGGCATACTTTCCCCGAACACCACCTTTGTGTCGCAGCGTCTTGAAAAACGAGGCGGTTTCCCTCCTTCGAGGACAAAGGCATGGCCGCACGCGGCTCGAACAGGTGCGTGAAGGAGGACAGTCGCTTCTCTTGTCGGGCTCCCCTTCGACGTGGTTCGCACGCTCTGACGGGCATGGCCGCCGTCTAGCGCGACGAATAAAAAACTCAGAGGGGGCGATTGACTTGGGCATAGATTTCGCGTTACGAAACAATCCTGGTATTACACTATTTTTAGTCGATAGGAAGCATACGACAGACGACGAGCCTATGAGAAGGATTCGCAGGTCGCCATCAGCATGAACTGTGTTAAAGCAACTTAACGTCTGTCACGAGCAACAGTTGTAATGGTGCGAACGAAATCTGACCAACGAACGTTGTCGGCACGTGCTCGAAGGCCGACCTACCAAATCACATTCCGCAATGTAGGAGAATCCTCCTCGCCACCCTTCCCATTTCCTTTCAACCGCAAAAACACACAACTATGTCCGCCAGTAAATTCAATGGATACTCTCCGAGGGACCGTTCGCACAACTGGTCAAAACCGAATTAGCGAAGCGATCGCGGAATATGACCCGTCAAATCCTGCGGGTTCGTGAGCGGTTCAGGCGCAACTCTTCGTGACCCCACAGCAAGAAGTAGTGAATGAGAATAATATTCGAAGCCCGCAGGTGTCGGTCGAAGGACCGCATGGTGGACGTAAATTTTCTCTAAGCCGATTGAAGAAGCTTCGTAGTCGTCGCATGGCGGCCTCCCCGAAAAACGGCGTCGCTGCAGCGAGCACGGTCGAGAGAAATGAGTTCGACGCCGCTCGCGCCGCTTGCCAGCTGGCCAGCGCAGTCCGTACACAGTCCTTAGGCGGCGCACGTGACACCTGTGCGGCGCGTGAAGCAGGAGGGAGAGGAGGGGGGGACCCCTGCAGTCAGGCAAGTCAGTCCTCGTTCCTTGGTAAGGGGGGACCTTTCACCGCGCTGCGGCGTGCCCGGTGCCGTACCGTTTGGTGCGGCAGCAGCAGCGAGTACGTGGATGGGGAGCGGCAGGTGGGCCGACCTTTTGGCTGGGACCGGCCCGGCCCTGGACTTCTCGGAACGACCAGGGTATAGACCGCACGTGGTCGGTCTCCCCACCCCCTTCCCTGTTCTTGCCCGCGCTTTGCACAACGCTTCCAACAGCGCGCCCAGGTTGGGGAGTCGCCTCTTGCACCGCCACTGCCTCAATCACAG